GGTTAGAGGGGAGACTTCCCGAGCTCCTAGGGTTAGGTAAGGCCACCAGGGTGCAGCCACCAAGCCTGACGGCTGGTGGCTACAGCACAGAGACAGGCAGACCCCAGAAATCATAGGCCTGAGTGTAGAGCCTGTGGCCCCCCCAAGGCAAACACTTATTCTACTGAGCTATCTCTCCAGCACCCCACCTCCTTTGTGACCTCTACTTTCTCCGCAGCTCAGAGCCACCTCCCGGCTCCTCTTCACCTGCGCTCTTCCCTTCCCGTCACCTCGTCTAGATCAGGATATCTGGGCAGTGTTACAAGTGTGGGTTAGGGAATGGCTCTCTCAGGGTGACCAGAAGGGAGAATGGTAAGAAAAGCAAAATTCACCCAGGTCAAAAGAATGTATCAATGCACGACTGGGACCAAACTCAGTCGCATGGGAAGCTCCAGACAGGGAGGTGCTGCGGTCAGCACTGTTCAGCTGAGGGCAGGGCGATGCATGATAGAGGGACGACGTGTGCTCCTCACTGTTTTCACCAGGAGAGAATGGGGGGACCTGGGGGAGTCCTAGGCCACCTTAGCTCACCAGGACTGGGAGACACAATCCAGGACTGGAGCTCTACTTTGAAGATTTTAGGGAGAACTGGGGCAATCGGTGCCTGCTACAGAGGGAGGGTGATGTCAGGACCCGGTTGGCAGGGTTGTGACGTCTCGGTAACTGGTGCCTGAGACTGGGTGCAGAGCAGACCTCGGATACAGCTACATTTGAAAAGGAAACACTGTCAGCCATAGCAGACAGCATGATCAGAAGCTCGCTTTTTTTTCTTTTGTGGCACTGGGGATTGAACTCTGGACCTTGCACATGCCAGGCCAGTGCTTATTCTACTGAGCTGTCTCCTCAGGCCCTAAAGTGAAGTTTAAAAAAATGAAAAAAAGAGTCCAGGGCCCATCCAAATAGCTCAGTGGATTAGGCGCCTGCAAGCAGGTGCAGGGGCGCAGGGGCCCTGAGCTCCATCTCCCGGCCTGCTGTGCCAGCCCGGCCCCCAGGACATACTGAGACTGCACTGACCCTGGGCGTGGTGGCGAAGGCCTGTAATCCCAACTCTTGGGAGGCTGTAAACAGGCAGATCACTACAAACCTGATCTACTAGAGATACCATGAAAGCTGTGTGGGCCCTTCCTTAAAATTAAAAAAAGAAAAAAGTCAAAATTTGAATATGAAAATTGGAATCTGAACAAAAATTGAAGGCTGTAGATTTTGGCAAGAGTGAAGGAGAACACTGAGCGCAGGGCTGAGAGCAGGAAATGCAGCTCTGAGAATGCAGGCGGAGTAAGACTGCGGGAACCTTTGTCCCACTGTGACACGTAGGTGTGTGCACGTCAGTGCAGGAATTTCTTTTTTCTTTTCTTTTTTTAAAAATTTATTTATTTATGTGTGTGTGTGTGTGTGTGTG